GTGGGGATGCATAGGAGGGGGGCTTAAAATGTTTGTATTTAAAGGGTGCTGGCAAGGTCTTCTGCACAATATGTGCCGCTCTCCTTAAAGGGGCACCGAGTGCCAATAACCATTAGTCATCCGGCAGGGACTTTTCATTATAGATCTATCTTTAGGGGGAGTTCCCCGAAGTCTCCGCAAGGAACGGAGCTGCGGATTTCAAACACGGTCCACTTCGATTCGCGCAGTGCCTGCATACCTGCTTTAATAGAACGGAGCGATACTCACCCGAGTGCGCGGACAGCCCAGAGGTCCCTGCAGCACCCGTGTCCTCAGTGGAATACCATCTTGTATCCGCGGCAGTTCCCAGCCTGCAGTCGATGATAACGTTTATGCTATCTCAAATACAAGGCTCTCCCATAGACATTTTTTTCCAGGGTTTTAAAGCAAATTTCTCGGTGCCATAATGTTATGATGGAAGGATGCTGAAATGACAGGCCTCGTAGACGCTTGTCTTAATCATCGGCTTCTTAATTTAGTTTTAGTGCTGTGGTTTTGTGTGTGCGCGCGTGTGTGTCTGCGCGTGTGTGCGCGCAAGAGAAGGCTCTGACAACCTGCAGCTTCCTAATGACTGACGAGGCAGGGCTGCTGCCGCAAAGTAACACTTCCCTGGTGTGAAGACCTCTCACTGGGAAGTTTAGTTCACTACTGTTCTCGCAATGCTAATCGTATAACCTGTAACCAAAACCCAGGCAAGAAGGATACAGCATGCTAAATAGAGTACCTTCTAATCACTAAACGTTAGCACCACGACCAGCTGTTAGGGATTAACTGAAAGTCGGTTAGAGACAGACACCTAAACTTAAATATACAAACGAGGATGTAAGGGTGGACCGCTGAATACTTCTTCCTCTCTCTCTTTGCCTCCATTCATTCCTCCACCTCCAGCCCATTCACCCCTCTTCAATCTGTATGACCACCTCTCGCCTTTGTTAGCGCTGCGTTCCGACCCCATTCGCCCTGCCCGAGCAGCGGGATATCGCTGTCTGCTGAGCTGCTCTTACCTTAATTGCCCAGGTAACCTGGAATAAATAAGACAAGCTTAGAATCCGGGGGATAGAGTTATAAATGCGCACATCCAGGCATTTACTGTACCCAACGTGATATTAGAGGCTGTTAATCTAAGGTGTCCCGATTCGTTTCGTGGACACATGATGCCATCGAAGCGTGGTTATTAAATACTCTCTCTTCATGGCTGAAAAAACCCTCATTCATTCCTTAAGCTGTCAGGACATTTTAGCAGCTTAACCCCTTGGAAGAGCCTGGGAGTGCAGAGCCGCTGTATTCGTGTGAAGGGGGACTGGAGGCTGGAGCCGCGGGGGGTAGGGGTGGGGGTCACAGCATATCTGCGTCCATCGAGCTGACAGTGGTACACTTTTCCTTCGGCCCTTAATTTTTAAAAAACACTCAGGGAAGAATCTACGGTGAAACATTATCAGTAAGGATTGTATCCAGAATCTGTATTCAAACAGCATGGCAACCCTTTGGATGGCATTTGAGCCGGGGGTCCTCACCCTCACCTCGGAGCGGGACTCTCTCGGCCCCATAGCGCCACGGGTCCCTGAGGGTGGGGAGCAGAAAGCTGCCTCTCCTCGCACTGGCGGTGCCCTGCCGGGCTGGGGCCGTGCATTCCCTTCTCTGTTCAAGCTGTTTCGCCAGTCACTCCACCAAAATTTTCATGCTAGAAAGTGCTAAATTTCTAAACCCTCTCACAGGAATTCGAGTGCAGATGGAGCTGAGAGGGTCAAACCAGTCATCTATTCAGGGCCACCATATACAAAGCTACCGCTGAAGTGGCCGGGGGCTGCGGCCAGGTCAGAGCTAGCAGAAGAACTGGTGTTAGAGCAGAACTTTGTCTGTCCAAAGCCAATAGTCCCGCTTTTATACATAGAGAATTTTCAGAAGATTTTTTTTTTTTTTTAAGGAAAAAGAAAAATCAGATTCAAAAGTCCAGTAGAAATAATTAAATAATTAAATAATTGACGTGCTTTTCCTACATATCCTTTTCTGTCCTATGAACAGTGAATTAATCTCACGGACTTGGAACAATACGCACTACATATTGAACACAACATTACCTTTTTTGGTAGAACTGTATATCCATGGCGCTAAAAAAAATACATCATTAAATCCTAAATTTCTGCACAGTACTTTATTCTGCTGCCATGATATATGACTGAATATTAAGCCCAGATCACCAAACGCTGTAAAAACACATTGCTGTCCGTATGGGACCTTTGCTCAGAAATGCAAAAGGACGAAGGTTTTCTTTCTTTCTCTGCTACATTCTCATCCCTGACTGCAGAGCTAAGCAGACTCAGCTTTGACCTAAGGAACACCTCAGAGCATTAAAATTTCAGCAGGCGATGTCAGTGTTACATTAAACGAGAGCTCCTCCGGTTTGCTGCAGAGCTGGGATTTGAATAAAACGCTCAATGTTAACAAACAATACACACGTTTGGCACTTGGTGTATTAAATGGATCAAAGGGATTTGATAAGGCACAATACCCCGTTTGTACAGACCTGATTGAGTTAATATAATATCAGCAAATTTTACTGCGAAATGAATCCGTTTCTTTTCTTTGTGTTTAAAACCAGCACAGATTAGAAATTTTAATGATCTGAAAATGTTTGGTATACAAAATCATGCTTATTTCAGTATTAGCAAAAACACAAGAAATTTTTCAACACAAACACCCAGCTGTGTCTATTTTAAAAGCAGTTCAATGACAGCTTGCACTTATGAGCATGCAATCAGCTAATTTCGCTTTTTTTTTTTTTTCTTCTGTGTTAATCAACACTTTCCTTCCTGCATATCAGAGTACAAATAGTATAGTTACTCCACAGCAGTAAATGTTTACGTAACCTGTCCTTTCTCAAGAATCCGGTTACACCGAATCATTACATGCTAGACCGAGTAGGAAAACGCACAGGGCCCAGCCACCCGGATGGGATCTTGCTGTACCGCACTGATATATATTGGTTAATGCCCATCAGAACCATAACAATATGCATAGAGCTTACCTTTCCTCTTACCCCTAGCACTGCAGAGCTCAGTCACATCCTCCACACTGTGCTCTTCCTCAGGAGTTCCCATCTATTGGCTTCAGTGTTGTGCAATGAAATAAATACAAATTGTCATGATTTTTCTTTTTTTAACAACGGCAATTCTAAAAAAAATAAATAAATAAAAAACGAAGGCAGTTGATCCATTGACTTCTACTTCTTTTCGGTCAGTAGCAACCTGTTACGGAATTGGATAAATAAATACAATTGTGGTGAGGTCAAGCGAGGTTAATCCAACGCACATAGTTCGTGCCATGCCCAATTGCAATTGTTTATTGCCCATCCACAGCAATTGTTGTGGGGATTTACTCTCTTTCTCACAGCCGCGCTCTCGCACACACGCACATACACACAAACGCATACAGAAAATGCACAGAGCCGTGGTGGTTGCACTGGAATCTGCACTGGGTTTCCCGGGACACACTGCTGGGGCAGGGCTGCGGGTGTCATTTCAACGGAACCATTTCTCCAGCGTGACAAACATAAACTTTGGGTAGTTGAACACAGCGACAGGCACCGGCTGTACGTTTTGTTGCACAGCGTTCATTTTAAACGTGACCAATACTCTATCACTCACACTTCCCCTTCTCATTTCAGAGCGAGGAAGCCGCAGGGCTCATCTCGCTTTGTTTCGGGGCCGATTCACATTTCTGCCCGTACTCACAGCGGTAACGCCGTGATGCGGTCGAGCAGCACCGAACCCGCTCCGTGAGCCCCTGAACCAACGCTACCGCCAGAATGGAGCCCCCGTTCCCTTTCCCACGGCCCACACTGAGTCCCTCCGGGGCCGACGGAGGCGCTGCGCGGGGCGCTGCGCCGGAGCCCGCGGGACTCGGGTGGTACGGGGGCGCTTAATTCGTTCGGCGGTGCTGCTGCTCCGCAGGCCTCGGCCAGAGGCCTCTACCCGCCCGGCGCTGCTGCCGCCGCCACATCGGGCCCGAGCCCTTCCACCGCCCTGGCTGCAGCTCCTGCCCCGCCGTCCCGACCCCTCCGGCTGAGTTTCGTTGCTCCCCGTTGGTTAAATAAATAACAACAGCGCGGCGGGGCCCGGGAACACTCTGCCGACGGGCGCCGTCGGGATCCGCCAAGTAGTACCTCTGCTCCGGCACCGCGCGGATTGCGCGCTCCCCCGGCTCCCGTCCTCCTGCCCCAGTGGCACGGAGGGACGGAGCAACTTTGCTCCACCGGAGGAGTTACCGAACGGAACCCCGGAGCCAAGCGCCGTTGGTTGGGCACGGGGAGATTAGTGCCGTTGCGCGGAGGGGCACGGCCGGTGATGCGCCCCGCATCGGTATCCCTGCGCGGCGGGAGCCGCGGCGGCGAGGGGGGCGGAGTCTCGGAGAGGTGTGGGCGTGGCTGCGCGCAGCCATTGGCAGGCGGGAGGCAGGACGCTCCGGCACGCCGCCGCCTCTGATTGGGCGCCCGGTGGGAAAGGTTAAACCAAAAAATTTTTTACAGCCACGGTGCGTGTCTGCAGCTCTGAAATTAATTGCGGCCGGGGCGCTCCGTATAGCCGGCTCCTCTCCGACCCGCGGCGCGTCCTCCCCCCTATACCGGTTTACCGGGGGAACCGGCACCATGAAGTAGCTTTTTTTTTTTTTTTTTTTTTTTTTTTTTTTGTATGCGTGTGGTGTTGGTTTTTTTTGTTGTTGTTGTTGTTGTTTGGTTTTTAGAGGGCTCTTTTACTCCTTTTTCCTCCTCTTTTTTCCCCTTCGTTCCGGCTCTCTCCGCTCGGTGACCGCTGCCGCCGTCCCCCGCCCGTGCTACATGCCGTGCCAGCGCCTGACGCTGCGCTCCCGCCGCGCCGCCGCCGCCGCCGGTGGTGCCGCCGCCCGCCCGGCCCCCACCCGCCCGGCCCCGGCCGCCGCCAGCCGCCCCCTCGGCGCAGCGTGTGATGTTGGACATGGGAGATAGGAAGGAAGTGAAAATGCTGCCCAAGTCCTCTTTCAGCATCAACAGCCTGGTGCCCGAAGCCGTGCAGAGCGACAACCACAGCGGCCACAGCCACCACAACAGCCACCATCCGCACCACCACCACCACCACCACCACCACCACCCGCCGCCGCCGCAACAGCCCCAGCGCGCTGCTGCGGCCGAAGACGAGGACGAGGAGAAGGCGCCGTTGCTGCTGCCGCCGCCCGCCACCGGCGCCCTGGAGGCGGCCAAGGCCGAGGCGCTGGCGGGGAAGGGCGAGGCGGGCTCGGCGGCGGCGGAGCTGGAGGAGAAGGAGAAGGCGGCCGAGGAGAAGAAGGGGGCGGCCGACGGGGGCAAGGACGGGGAGGGCGGCAAGGAGGGAGAGAAGAAGAACGGCAAGTATGAAAAGCCACCGTTCAGCTACAACGCGCTCATCATGATGGCTATCCGGCAGAGCCCCGAGAAGCGCCTGACGCTCAACGGCATCTACGAGTTCATCATGAAGAATTTCCCATACTACCGGGAGAACAAGCAGGGCTGGCAGAACTCCATCCGCCACAACCTCTCTCTCAATAAGTGCTTCGTCAAGGTGCCCCGCCACTACGACGACCCGGGCAAAGGGAACTACTGGATGCTGGACCCGTCCAGCGACGACGTCTTCATCGGAGGCACCACCGGCAAGCTGCGCCGGCGCTCCACCACTTCGCGGGCCAAGCTGGCCTTCAAGCGCGGCGCCCGCCTCACCTCCACCGGCCTCACCTTCATGGATCGGGCGGGGTCCCTCTACTGGCCCATGTCCCCCTTTCTGTCCCTGCACCACCCGCGGGCCAGCAGCACGCTGAGCTACAACGGGACTGCGTCCGCCTACCCCAGCCACCCCATGCCCTACAGCTCGGTGTTGACTCAGAACTCCTTGGGGAACAATCACTCCTTTTCCACGTCCAACGGGTTGAGCGTCGATAGACTCGTCAACGGGGAGATCCCCTACGCCACTCACCACCTCACGGCCGCCGCCCTGGCCGCCTCGGTGCCGTGTGGCTTGTCGGTCCCCTGCTCCGGCACCTACTCCCTAAACCCCTGCTCCGTGAACCTCCTGGCGGGACAGACGAGTTACTTTTTCCCCCACGTCCCTCACCCCTCAATGACTTCTCAGAGCAGCACTTCAATGACGGCCAGGGCCGCCTCTTCGTCCACATCGCCGCAGGCACCCTCCACCCTGCCGTGCGAGTCTCTAAGACCCTCTTTGCCGAGTTTCACGACGGGACTGTCCGGAGGACTCTCCGATTATTTCACACATCAAAATCAGGGGTCTTCTTCCAACCCTTTAATACATTAACGTCCATGGGATCAGACTGTAAGTGAACATTTTACACACGTTCGCGTTGTAAATGATGATTGAAAAGAGAAAAAAAGAAAAAAAAAGGAAAAAAAAAAAGAAAAACAAAAAAGCCCAGGTATTTTTTATTAAGTCCCCCATTTTCTGTACGTTTGTTCAGTCTCTAGGGTTGTTTATTATGCCACCAGGGTGAGGAGTGTCAGCGAGGTGCAATGTGGGGAGATTACATTGTAGACTATGGAGTTTGGAAGACAAATTTCTAGTAGAATGTGTATCTAATAGTGACTGCTTTCGCGATTCCTATTCTAACACAAAAAGTCCATCTCTAAAGCCGCCAGATTCTCCATGTTTGCAGTATTATAAGTTATCATGGATATGTCGGTGGGTGCAGACCTTGAAAAAAGCCACTAGATTTGTGAAAACTATAAAAAAGAAAGTGTAATTTGTATTTAAGCAGATTCATACTGAGAGATGCCCAAAAACTACGTTTTGGCCATTTATAATTTTATCTTTTTCTTTACCTAACTTTTTTTTTTTTTTTTGATTTCTTCTTCTCATTCTTCTTCTTCTTCTTCTTTTTTAATTCTTTATTGTTATTATTATTATTATTATTTTCCTGTTTGTTTGTTTGTTTACTTTTAGACCAAAGATTGGGTTTTAGAAAATGCACTCAGTGTACGGAGTAATTTAAAAACAGCCGCATTGTTTCAGTTCGCAGCACTGCCAGTTCCAATGATTCCGAAGGGGACAAAATTACTGATTGCCTTCAGTTTGTGTTGTGTATATTTTGATGTATGTGGTCACTAACAGGTCACCTTTATTTTTTTTTTTTCTAAATGTAGTGAAATGTTAATACCTATTGTACTTATAGGTAAACCTTGCAAATATGTAACCTGTGTTGCGCAAATGCCGCATAAATTTGAGTGATTGTTAATGTTGTCTTAAAATTTCTTGATTGTGATACTGTGGTCATATGCCCGTGTTTGTCACTTACAAAAATGTTTACTATGAACACACAGAAATAAAAAAAAAAATAGGCTAAATTCATATATACTTGATAGTTTTTTTGTCTCTTATTAACTAAAATTAAAATTCCTGAGGCTTTAAAGTTACAGGGAGGTCAGCACGCTGCCTAGCCCAGCGGCCCTCCATTTTTTCACAGGCTCCTTCTCCAACCCCCACATCACCTCGTGTTTAACCACAATGTTTGGGGACAGAAAGGAGCGGGTTTTAGCGATACCCCACGGCCCCACGCGAGGTGTAGGGCCTGAGCATGGCAGTGCAAGGCGGGGGTCGTGCTGAGCGGTCTGACACTGAGCGCGCTTAACACTGCGAATGTATGTAGATATGTACATATATATTTATACATATATATGTAATGCGCTAGGAAAAAGTACAGGTACATGGTTTATTTCTTAAGGACATGGTTGGTTTTTTGTTTTTTTTTTTGGGTTTTTTTTTTTTTTTTTTTTTTTTTTTTGGTTTTTTGGTTTTTTGGTTTTTTTTTTTTTTTTGCAATCTTTGGTATGATCTGAAAGAATTATCCATCCAAAAGGCATTATTCCGACTGTATGATAAGTGAAGCTATATGAACTATGAATGTGTGTATATATACATATACATATTAGCTTTCCTATAATGACTTGATCAAATTTGGCAAGCTATGCTGCGTACGTGTATTAAATGCAATCTTTATCTGAAAGCTCCACAGTTCCGGAAGTGTCTGTGCTCTGTACTTACAGACTTTCAATGCTGCTAACCTTGGGCAAACTGTTTTGCAAAGGATTGTATGGGGAGCTCGAGCCACCTCCTCCGCCCCTGACCCACGTCCGCCGGTGGCCGGGCAGGAGCGAGCCATCGGGCCGGGCGGGCTGTGTTGAGCCAGATGGGGGCCTGCAGGATGCGGTGCTGGGGCAGGGATTGAAATATATGGGGGGGGGGGGGGGGGGGGGGGGGGGGGGGGGGAGCACTGGGGGGGGGATGTTTGTTATTTTTAAAAAAAAAATTAAAGG